GGGGGGAAAATATTCTCAGGTGAGGAGTAACAACAACAACAAAAGTGCTGAGTCAGTGCATTTTGGTCTCCCACCACCCACTTTATAGAAGAATATCAGAGCTGGGAGACCTCCGAGCACCTCTAACCCATCCCCTGTGCTTTGTTGCTGAGGAAACCAAAGTTCCAGGAAGGGATAGAATTTACCCAAGAGGTGCCAGAGCTAATTATGGGTGTGACACAGAGGGGATAAGTTTCAGGGCGTGGATGGAATTGTTCAGGGGTTTTTGGGCCATGATTAAACTCATATTATTTCTTTGCTAAAATCCAAATAACAAGATGATGATTTTTTGTTACATCAGAAATCTCTGTGTGACAGCAAAGCACTTTCCGCCCAGCTCTGCCCACACTGCCATCTCAGTACTAAGTTGAAGCATGTGGAGAGTCCCAGGGAGTTTTTTGTGAGTTTTTAGTTAATGTACTTGTTATGCTGTGAGCCTCTTGCCATTTTCTATTTCCTGTTTCTGCACCATTGTTCTTGCCCTTCCCTACTCTTCAGCCCCCTTCTCCCTGGGTTCAGAGCCCCCCTTTCTTCTGGACTAAGTCTTGCTTCTCCGTTAAGCGTGGCCAGTGCTGAGCTGGAGATACTGATAAATAAGAGGTGATTCGACCCTCCAGGGCTCACAGCCTAGAGTCTAGCCCAGGGGTGGGCAAACTTTTTGACTCGAGGGCCACAATGGGTTCTTAAACTGGACCAGAGGGCCGGAACAAAAGCATGGATGGAGTGTTTGTGTGAACTAATATAAATTCAAAGTAAACATCATTACATAAAAGGGTACGGTCTTTTTTTTCAATAGTTTTATTCATTTCAAATGGACCGGATCCGGCCTGCGGGCCGTAGTTTGCCCACGGCTGGTCTAGACTCAAGAAAAGAAACTTCGCAGAGAACTATAATACATGCCATGAGTAGGGGGGGACTCTCATTCATTCACTTGCCCTGTCAACAGATGCTTCTTGAGGAGGGCTCCAGCCAGCAGTGACAAGCAAACTGACACAGCCCAGCCCCCATCAGGTGCAGGAGACTGACATTAGTCAGAGAATCACTAAGGAGTAAAAACGGCGAACAGACATGCACTCCAAAGTAAAGGAACATGGCTCTGTCAGTGCAGAACAGAGGACCCTTGCCTGGACTGGGGGGGGTGGGGGGGTGGGGGAGGACTTCCCCAGGGAGGCAAGACTTGAGCTGCAGAGTGAAGGTCAAGTAGGAGTTAACCAAGCAAAGGGAAGCACCCCAAACGGGGGGAAGAGCATATGTAAAGGAAGGTCGGCACCTGGATCGCAGTGGCTGGAGATGTGAGAGGAAGTGGAAACGGAACCTAAACAAGGCTTTATTGGCCACAGTCAAGGTTTGCCATCTCGCCTGGCCGACATGGCTCAGTGGTTGAGCGCCAACCTATGAACTAGAAGGTCATGGTTTGATTCCCAGTGAGGGCACATGCCCGTGTTGCAGGCTCGATCCCCATGTGGGGTGTGCAGGAGGCAGCCAATCAATGATTCTCTCATCATTGATGTTTCTATCTCTCCCTCTCCCTTCCTCTCTGAAATCAATAAAAACATATTTTTAAAAAAGATTTGCCACCTTTACCTGAAGAACAGTAGGGCACCATTTGAGGTGGAGATGATGGGGTTAGATGTATCTAAAAAGATTTTCTCTGGCTGCACTGTGGTGAGCAGGCCAGGAGGAGAGGCAGTGAGGAGACCAGTGAAGAGGTAAGGGAGGATGGTGGCTGGCCAGGAAGTGGTATTCCATCAAGAGAAGGGTTTACCTTTGGGGAATATCTTGGAAATAAATTGGATAAGATTTTAGGCTCAGAGGCATCGCGCAACAGAAGTGGATGGGTGGAGCACTCTGGTCAGATCACAGTTTGGTGCGGGCAGCCAAGCCTGTCAGTCTAGGGCTTCATGAGAAAGGTAGAACTTGAGCTGAGACTTGAGAGTATGGTAGGGATTTCAATGGGCAGAGAAAAGGTGTTCCAGGCAAAGGAAACTAGCCAGCGGAGGTGAGTGTGAATGAGTGGCGTGTTTGGAGCTAAGGCTGGCAGTGGGAAGAGTGCTGGGCTAGTGTTCCATGTGGGGGTAGGCCAGGGCAACTGCTGGGCAACACGTCTCTTAGATGCCGGCCCTACCTCTTAATCCTCTCACACCTCCTGTTGTGTCTGTAACTCAGCACAGGGAAGAACCCGGGGAATGTGGCTGCAGGCCTTGGCTGAGCTGGCCACCTTGGCCTTCACCCTGGCTAAAATGCCCTGCCCTTCCTTCTGCAGGTGAAGGTGGTGAGCCTGCAGCCTGAGGTGGCCCAGATCGACCTGTACATCCTTGGCCAAGCCGACCACTTCATAGGCAACTGTGTCTCCTCCTTCTCCGCGTTCGTGAAACGGGAACGAGACCTCATGGGGAGGACATCCTCTTTCTTTGGCATGGACTGGCCCCCACAGTTGCGGGACGAGTTCTGATCTAGGCTGGAGCACGTCACCAGCCTAGCTGGTCTCTCCAGCCAGGCCTGGCACCCAGAGCTGCTCCCAGGATTGATCCCCAAAGGAGCAGGCCAAAAAGAGAAGCAGCTGCCAAGGACAGAAAAGTACCAGGGACTTCCTGGGGCAGAAGATGGCCCATCTCCCCGGGTACAGGACTTCCAGGTTCCTAGGAGCCAGACCATCTTCCCTGCTCCTGTGCTTCTGGGAGTTTCTCACACCAGCAAAACAGTCCAACCACTGTCTTTTGGTCTACTCTGCTCTAATTAGGGGCAGAAATAGAATATTGGGGACCAGCTATAATTATAAGAAATACTAGAGGCCCAGTGCACGAATCCCTCAGCCTGGCCTGCTCCCTCTCGAAGGAGCAGGCAGCCGGGGAGGAGCCCGAGCTGGGGCTGGGCCCCCAAGCAGCTCCTGCTCATCCCAGCCCCGCTAGCCATGTTGGCTAGCATCGGCTGGCACCCGTCAGACAGCTGAGTGGCGCTCTCACTGTGGGAGTGCACTGACCACCAGGGGCAGCTCCTGCGTTGAATGTCTGCCCCCTGATGGTCAGTGCCCATCATAGCAACTGGTCAAATTGTCATTTGGTCACTTAGGCTTTTATATATATAGATTAATCATGCTCTGTTCACTGTCATTGTTTTGTTATGATTAAAGAAAGTACATTCCCACCTGGCTGGGAGTTGCACACGGGACCTGGGAGCTCACCTGGAAATTCGTCCCATCTTCCACATCTGGGAGCTGTCTGTTATCATGGAAAGATTAACAATTTTGTTGCAGAAACCAGAGGTGCCAGCTCTTTACAAGCCCCCAGACTTTTGCAAAACTCCAGGCCTTTGCAAACCCCCAGCCCACATTACCTGTAAACTGCCCATTTTGCATACCTATTCTTATTCCTTTTGCCTACTTCCCTGTGTAATCTTTGTCCTTCTACCCAATATAAGCAGCTGGTTTATGGGGGGGAGGGAGGGATGGAGAGCAGATTTTTGTGGATGACCTGCTGCTCTCTCATACTGCCAGCATTATTGGAATAAACGCTCATATGTGATTCAACCCCATCTCTACTTAATTGGCTCAAGTAGTGACAGGCAGCCCAGACCAATTGATTGTCCAGTTTCACTCTGAGCAGCCTAGTTTTGATACAAGGTCATGACTACCCTAGCATTCTCTCTCATTTTAAAAAAATCAATGAAGTTTATTAACGTAAGTACCTAATTAACGTAAGTGACCTTACTGAATGTAGATGAGGCCAGGGGTGGGGTGGGGGTGTTCACCACTTCCATATGACCCCCAGAATGGCCCTCAGACTCATCTCCACTGCTTCACCAGAGCCACTGTCGACCCCACTTCTTGATCCCTTTCCAGGGTTTGGGCACTGTCCTCCATTGTAAACACTTTGCAAATAGAAGTTCCCAGTCATGGTGCCACAGAGTTCCACTGACAGCTGAGTGCTGCTTGCAGGGCACGTTCCCTGCACAGAGCCCATGCCATCACACCAGGCCATCATGGCATTGGTCTCCGTCTCTTGGTAGTTGGTGGCCTGCCACAAACCTGGCACCATCAGGGTCTTATAACACACCACTGGGCTGTCCAGCCTGGCGGGGTCCTTCTGAAGGCTGCCATCTCCTCTCCTGCTCTCTTGCCTCGGGCCTGGCTGTAGAATTTTGCCAGTAAGTTGGTATCCAAGGTCTGTACTCCCAGCCTTTCTCCTGCAGCTGGAGCCCTCAGACCATGTTCTCACAAGGGAGTGTTTGCTAAGCCTCTGACCAAACCTGGGATGCATTGGAGACCCGGTTTCGAAGCAACTTTTGTCCTCTCCTGTCCAATGTTACCTCTGATCCCATGAGCCTTAAGGTGTTACATTCGTAAATTTCTTTGTCTCCCAGATGCTGTGGTTGTAATAATCCATGACTCCTGAGAGTCTGACTTTTGGTTCTAAAATTCAAGTCTAATTAATACCTGCAGATCTCTCACCATCCTGGGATTTCTCTTGGTCTTCGATCCCGGGAAGATGAAGGATATTCTCATGAGAGCCAGGCCCAGATCTTTAGTCAGGGGCTTTGGAAGGGAATTTTTTTTTTTTTTTTTTTTTTTTTTAGTGACATTTTTTTTGGTCAGGGCAGACTGGCCAGAGGTTGCAGGGCAGCAAGGGTGTCAAACACCAAAGGTGACATTTATTGCTTAGGGCTGCTGTGCAACTCTAAGCAGGAGAGACTATACAGAAAGGGCTTTTGTATTTTTGCTCTTGGGAAAATAGTGACATTTTTACATGCTAGATAGACTCTGAGAGGTAGTTTATCTATTCAGTTTTTGGTCAGGGCAGACTGGCCAGAGGTTGCAGGGCAGCAAGGGTGTCAAACACCAAAGGTGACATTTATTGCTTAGGGCTGCTGTGCAACTCTAAGCAGGAGAGACTATACAGAAAGGGCTTTTGTATTTTTGCTCTTGGGAAAATAGTGACATTTTTACATGCTAGATAGACTCTGAGAGGTAGTTTATCTATTCAGACTTGTTCATGAGCCTCATTCAGAGACATGGAGCCCACGTGTGTACTCCTGCCTCCATCGGCTAGTTGGGAAGGCTGATTTCATTGGTTAGATTCATGTGTCCATCACCGCCTCACACGAGGCACATGTCTGGGCTCTGAAGGGCCATCCAAATCATGTTGGCTAGCATCGGCTGTAATAATAGCTTATGTTTCTGGGAGAGAGGGCACCAGAGTTGCAGTCAGTTGTGTGTTCTTAGGCAAGCACTTTATTCCTCTTTGACCCAGTTTTCTCGGCTATAAAATGGTGATAAAACTGACTGAGTTGTTGAAGGGCTCAAATCAGATAAAGCATGTACAAGAGCACATTGTAAACGTGAAAGAGACAAAGGCTCACCTGTGACTGTTCGTTCGTTTGCCTCTTGTCGCACGCCTACTCTGTGCCAGGCACTGTGCTTGTTCAGTGATTTATGGGCAGTCTCTGATTTAGTCCCCACCCCAGCCCTGGGAAGTAGGAACTGTTATTATCCTCTTCCTGCACAAGGAAAATGGATGCTTAGAAAATGCTCATAGTTTTCCTAGGGCCACACAGGTAGGTGGAGGCTGTAAGCCAGGATTTGACCTCCCAAAGCCAGTCCTGGTAACCACATGCTCGCGCTGCCCTCGGTTCATAGGATGCACTTTACTCCCATTTGGGCTTCTGCCATGGGTTGGCCACTGCCAGGGGATTTGGGGGAGATCACCCGAGAAACAGAAAGCCACATGAAGCTATAGTTCCCTTGAGTGGTTATTCAACATCCTTTTAGTAACAGGTATTTATTGATCAACTACTATGTGCCAGGCTCTGTGTTAAGTTCTAGGGATTCAGCAGAGAATCAGACATAAAGTCTTTGCTCTCAAGGAATTTTCATTCTACTAAAAAAGACAATAAAGTAGTATATCATGCCCTGATCAGGATTCGAACCATGAACTCCCGATTCATAGGTCTACATTCAACCACTGAGCCACGCCAATCAGGCTCATCATTGATGTTTTTTTCTCTCCCTCTCCCTTCCTCTCTGAAATCAATTAAGTATATATATATATATGTGTATATATATATATATATATACATATATATATATATATATATAGACATGGTTTTGTTAGCTCATAGGTTTAAATATAAAGACTTTCATTATGGAAAAAAATCACATAGGAATCATCCTATCTAATAATAGACAGACATGATAATTGACCATACCTTTGCTATGCCTCCCATTGGCAAATCAGCATGATATGCAAATTAACTGCCAACAAAGATGGTGGCTAATTTGCATACTTCAGGCAGGGCGGGTCAGTGCCATCCCACCTGCCCCGCCACCATCCGGGCCTGCTATTTGCCACCTGGCGGTCCCGTGTGCAACCCGACCCAGGCCGACGGGGTGGGACAGAGTGGCTCCTCTGTCACCCCAGCTTCCTCATCACAGCTCCCTTGGGGGCCTAAGCCTTTAGTCGGACATCCCCCAAGGGCTCCCTGGCTGCCAGAGGATGTCTGACTACAAGTGGGCCTAAATTGACAGGTGGACATCCCCCAAGGGGTCCTGAACTGCAAATGGGTACAGGCCGGGCTAAGGGACCCCCGAGTGCACAAATTTTTGTGCACTGGGCCTCTAATAAGTTATAAAATGAACTCCCATTTTCAACAATTCTAAACATTTTACAGCCTTGTTTCATTTACAGTCTCAGCCCCAAGTCCAAATTTTAGAGAAGGGCCAGCGGGGTTCCCTGACACACTAAATGAGGGGTAGGAGGGAAAGGGAAGTCCAGGATGTGCTGAGGCTTAAGACCCAAGCAACAGAGAGGAGTTGTCCCTGACTTGCAGAGTGACCTTGAGGCAGGTCACTCACCTCTACACCTAACCTCTGAATTCCAGGTGCTATTGGTGGTCCCAGCAGTGTTTCTCAAAGGTGGTCTCCAGAGGTTCCTTGGAACGCTGGTTAATAAAGATTCCAAGGACTCACCCAGACCTGAACAATCAGAATCTGGTGGGTTGATGCCCAGCAGCCTGAGACCTATACTTCAGTTGTACTCAGACCAGCACCATGGACATCACCTGGACAGCATGTTAGAGATGCAGATTCCCAAGACCAAATTCCCATAGAAGTGGTACTTTGCTGTGATGAATAATATAACTAGATATTTTTAAGAGGTTAACATTGGATTTCAAATGTATAAGGGTCTGGATTCAATTTCCTGTGGTCACTTCTCAATAACTCTTTGTCTTCTCAAGTTACTCAAATTTTCTGACCCCAGTTTGTTTATTATGAAAAATAAATGTATACTAGAATCTTAAAAAAAAAGAAAAGAAAGAAAGAAATGCAGACTCCCAGCTGCCCTACTCCCCCAGCTCTGCTGAATCAGAAGCTCTGGAAATCTTAGCTCTCTAGGAATCTTAAGCTCTCCAGGAGCTAGAGCTCGAGCAACACTGGTCGTAAGACTGTGGGTTAACCAGAAAGCACCTATGGAAGGCCTGCTCTGCCCCCAGCCCTGGAGCTTTCCATCACACACGTGATCAATGGGGTAGCTTTAGGCGGTGCCCCGTAATGCAACATTGACTGATTTATTGTGTATACTGGGAAGTATACAACCAGATAGTCAAACCCTTGATTTAATTGATTTTATTGTTTTAGGAATGGGTCCACATTTTTATAAGCAAAACAATGGGAATTACATTTTTTTAAAAAAAGTAATTTCCAGTAGAGACAGATTGTGGATTAAATAGAAATAGTGTTCACAGGAACCAAAGCTGGGAAACACTGTCCTGATACATCATAGATCCTCTGAAAATATAGACGAAGGTGGAGAGTAAGGG